AAGGTAAAAAATATAAAAATGATGCTGTTATGTGAATGTCCTACAAATGTGTGTTCCTTATGATTACCTTGCTCAACCCAAGTACCATATTTACTGAGCCAGAGAGAAAATATCAACAATAAAAAATTTTGGCTTCTAGTCAGCAAATAACATTTACTGTCGACCAACTGCATGCCAAGTACCAAGCTGTGAACATTCACTGGATACAAGAGGAACAGAAAAGAAGGTTTCTACTCTTAAGAATAGATGTGACTTCAAGACTTACAGTTAGGGTGCAATGGGCTGACCTGAGGAGCGATTTATCTAAGCCCTTTCAGTGTTGCAGCTGGGGCAATCGCCCCTCTGGTACCTGCCTAAGTAATACACTAATCGCAAAGGTAATCCGGCGGTAATGCTAATTTCAACAAAATTTTCATTTATCTTCCTACTAAAATAGGGGTGGAGGAATGGAAGGATAAGATCAGTGTAAAGACATGTAATTATAATAAAATCAAAATGTGAAATAGCCATTGTTGGATATACAAAGACACACAATTTAATTTTCAACATTCCTTGACACAGATCTCGTGCATTAAATGCTGAAATATTTAAGTTCTGTTTGGTGACAAAATAGGAGTGGGGAAGTAGAGCCCTAACCACTGCATTATTCTACCCAATACCAAACACAGTGATTGTACAGTCATGGATTTTGAATTGTAATAGTCCTTAGATATTATCTAATCCAACCCAAATATTGTGAATAAGAAACTGAGGTTAATGTAGAGTCACGGTCACATAGAGACAAAGCTGAAAGGCAAAGCTGAGATCTGACTCCAAGGCTAGTGCTCCTTCCACTCAGACACACTACCTCTCCTTATGTTTAATTAATATTCTTAATATAGAACCAGAGAGATAAAAAATCTTACTTAGGGTTGAAGACAATTTTTAGGTAGAAATAACAATAATGTAAAAGTATTAAATATTTGAATGAGCAAAGGAAACAACAAATTAAATTGCTGTTGCAATTATGAACCTGTCCAGAGATACAATATGTAGATGCTATCATCTAAAAATCTCAACTTTATTGGTCAGCAAAACTGTTTACCTGACTTTTACTTAACTTTATGTATTGATATATTAGAATAGTTTTCCAATAACATGGAAACATTCAATAAACAAAATATACTCTTTAGATTGACTTTCACTGAAACCCATGATTGTCTTTCAGAACTAAAATATCACATTTAGTTTTGAAAAGAACACTTCTCATCTATATGTGTTCTTTTGCTTTAAGGAATAAATGTTCTTTTACAGGCCTTGATCCTATTAAAATAAAAGATAAAATAGAGAATAAAATGTTGGAAATAAGATAAAAATGAGAGAAGAACTACATTCCCCAAAGGGAAATGCCTTTGGATGTATGTGTCCTCCAATGAAGTCAATGGAATTTGGTTGGGTATCAAATAAGAGAACCAGGTCCTTCTTGACCTCTCATCCGTCCAAACAAAAAGAAAAAAGGAAAAAAACAAGTCTGTGCTTACATAACTTCTGGCTAAAAGGGTAATTAGATCCTGGAAAGGCTAGTTCTCAGGGGAAGTTTCATAATATCTGACCCCCAGAGAACTTGAAGAGGGTATATAGCCATCTATCTGTCAGAGAAAGTTTACTTGCAATGCTGCCTAAAGGTAGGAGAATAGACTCCATGGACTTCAGGGTCTGTCTAATTCTTTGATTCTATCACATCCCAATATTTAAGCCACTTTTGACATTTTAGGCATTCTTGTTTATTGTTGTCACTATTGCCATTGACAAGAAGAGGGGAATTTTATAATCTGCCTCATAATTACCATATTAATTATTACATTCCTCTTTCATAATTTTAATCCCTTTATTTGCCTCATTGCATTTTTTTTGGCTCTCTGTGAACTACAGAGTGATGCCTGCTGATGTAGCTAGCAGGATATCCTTAAGAAAAGCTGCCCAGCTGTCAGTTATAAGTCCAGCCAGTTGGGCAAGTCCAGAGAACTAATCTGGACAGTGACATCTCTGTCTTCGGGTGACTACAGTATGGTATAAAACTGGACACAATGTATCACTGAACTGTACTCAGTTAAGCTTTCATGGCGGTATTTCAACAACCTGAGTAAATTACAGTCATCACATCTAAAAAATTTAATTGTTCTATTTTACTTATTGTTGGTTAAATAAAGTGTCTATCTATGAACATATCACCTTAAGAAAAAAATTTACTACATTTTTAATCCTTAAAAAACAAAATTGTTTCTTAAAATGTTGATACAAATTGGAAGCTTCCAAAAGGCCTTTAATCCTTTGATCCAGAATGTTACCATCATAACTGGTAATTTTTGTCTATCCAGAAGATTAAAATAAAGCAAAGAATATAATTACCAATGACGATTAGTTTAAAAAAAAAAACCTTTATATCTGAAGTATATACCCTTACTTTTTAATTGCAAGTAAACAAATCAGGTCTCTGGGTCATAAGTTTGGATCTTTGTAATTCCTTAAACATTTGGCTAAATTACTGCATTAACTCTGTAGAAAAGTTTATTTGTGAATCCCTAGTATCTTATTCTGTCAGAACCAACTGGTTCTTTAAAGATACCCCTAGACCATTAACTCTTGAAAATAAACTGTCAACTTTCTGAAATGTGCGCATGTGTGTATGAATGAGCAGGGAGGAGGGGAAGTATGGGTTTCTCATGTATAATTTTATTGCATTGTTTTTTTGCCAATGGAATACTTCTGGAATTGGTGTCCTGTCTCCTGAGAAGCAAAGTTTTACCCATAAGCAAGAGTATAATAATTGTCAAAAGAACAAACAAAATACAAAGCATAATATCTTACAGCAAAACAAAAGGCAGCTTACCGTGAGTTTAATGATCTGGATCACACTCACTCAATATCCAGGAAAAAAAACAATCAGATGTTGGCCTTTTCATTTTTTTTATTTGTTTGGCTGGATTTTGGACCAATGTAGTGTAAATACACAAATCCTTTAGGTAAGTAGAAATTTTAACTAGAAAGATGACTCAAGAAAAATATGAGACAAAATTTGAAGGAAGAGTTTTCAATTTTCACGTAAAACTGTCACTTGGAAAACAAGTGCCATGAATCAGTACCAGTACAAAGCAAAGTAATTTGTTGTTGTTTTTGAACAATAATGAAAAACATCTGTGATGTTCTTAACATTTACTTTAAAATATAAAAGGGGTTTGTCAGGCCTTAGGATTTAGAATACAAATTTAATTATTTGGGTCAGGGCCTACATAGAGATTTTTGCCCATATCAATATGCACATTAAATTCATGCCAAAACATCCGTTTTATATTAGAAGAAGATGAGAGAAAGGAATAAGCATTTATTAAGGACCTGCTCTGCACCAGGCAGTGTGCTAAGCATTTCACAAATATTATCTCATTTAATCATTGGATATACATGTCCAGAGGTAGGAAACATGTTAATTTAAAATCCAAAATGCAATAACATTAGATTTTTACATAATCTGAATTAGCATTGATCAAATGCTATTAGGATTTCTGGATACTGTTAGAAATGTATTTATGGAAGGCAAATAAATCAGGCTACTAATTTGAACTGAGCACTTATTTAAAACTGTCTAAGATCTTATGCACCTAAGAGTTAATCTTGAGTTTCTGTAATATGTTTAATTGAAATTATTCAACTTCAATAAATATACTCATTCTGTTTCTCATATAAGAAACTACGTGCTATTTGCACACCATTTGTGATAAAATGTAAGTTCCTTGAGGGCAGAGAGTATTTATTTTTTGTCTATTTCCTGTGCCCAACACAATGCCATGCATAAAATGTTTATCAATTTTTATAAAATTTATAATATTTGATTAAGACATATTTATCAAATTACATTCTTGTTACCTTATCAGTATTGCTCAATCCTAACAGTAAAAACTTGAGCTAATGCTGACATTAGACTGGTAGATCTTTTTTTTTTTCTAAAGGAGAAAATAAAAAATGGACTACTGATAATAAAAGTTAATTTAAAACAGATATTTATAGGAAAAACAATTAAAGAATATTAATGTGTAAGTTTCTGGACAAACATAAGACAGACTAAAATGGATTTCCTGATCATTAACTAAAACTACTTCTGTGAAAGATTTATACTTAAGCATTCACAGAACTGAGACCCACATTCTCTCAAATATCTGAGCATTTTGCAGAAAGGATTAGGAAAGTATTTGCTAAAGTACTGAGGAAGCTATGTAATAAGCATTAGAAGTGGTAGAGTTCAAAACTTTCTAGGTTTCTTCACATAGGATGTAATCTGACAAGTATTTGCCGAATCTGGGTGAGAGCAGGGTTGTATTATGGAAGGTTCTTAAAAGTAAATGGCCAGTAAATAATGCACTGAAGTACATTAGGCACTTCAGCTTTATATTTCATATTTTTAAAAATAGATTACCCTTCAGAAAGGAATAAACTAGATTTACTTTGCAATGTAACAGTTACGGCTCTATCACTATAAGGAAAAAAAAGGTTTTGCAATTTTCAGTTTTATACAATAAGTGAAAGACAACATGCTTAGGAGAACAGGAGATATAGAAGGTGGGATCAGAGATGACCACAGAATTATACAGGTTCAGGTATCTCTAATGTACAGCCAACAAAAAGATTGGCACATAATCCTATGTCTGTTCAACTGCTACAATGACAGAGAATATTCATAACTGCTATGTCAACTTCAGTCCCATGCAAAGTTTGTAAAACCTTCCTTATTAGGAATATTTAGAATATTCCTATATTCTAAAAATGAAGGTTGAAAAGGTAAAAATGCTTCAGTACAAAGTGTTTTCTGTGCATTATCTCTCCCCCTAGCCCCAATTAGATTTAGTTAATTTCTGTGGTATAATCAAGATTGACTGCTGAGCGTGAAAAGAGAAGAAATGAGAAAAGTCAGGATAGGTAATGGGAGAATGGACAATTCCCACCTGAGTAGGTAATATACTAACACTAACCTTGAATTGTCCTCTTGAAGAAGGCCTTGCAAGCTTCGCATGAAGCTACCCCATAGTGGTACCCAGATGCAATATCACCACACACCAAACACAGTCTCTTGGGCATCGAATTTAGCATGTATTCACACTTGGTCTGTGAATCTTCTGCAATGGTGCTGGAACAATCATCATATCGTTTCCTGACAGGCCCGTTACCTCCAAGGACAGGAGCAGAAGGGTACAGAGGTGGTGAGTCAAGTCCATTCTGATGGCCATTCATGGTTGAACTATAGCTCCCGCTGGCGTCTGAAGAGCCACCGGGGCTGTGGTGGTTGATGCTGTCCGTTAAGGAGGCAGGGCTTGAGGGTTCCGTCTTGATATATGACGAACAGCTAGAATCAATGTGTCGATCTTTGCTTGACATTCTGCAGAGAAGCCTGAAACATAGGGGAGAGGAGAGAAAAGATAGGGTAAAGAGAAAGAAAAGAAAAAGATGAAGAGGAGAGATATGAAGATAAAATGATAAAAAGAAAAGGAGGAGAAGGAGGGAAGAGACAGACATAGTAAAGAAAGGAGGAGAAAAAAAAATTCACGTATTAAAGACATTGCTCTTGAAGGGCGCCTTTTAAGGACTAAAAACACACATTATTCATTCATTAGTCAATATCCCTTGTTCAACATGAAGGTGATCAGCCTAAGGCCGTGACAGAGCTATATCAAGGCACCTGACAGGGAGAGTCATTGCCACCACCCACCACCATTTTAAAAAGTTTCCATCCTTCAAACCATGTCAATTTCAAGTCAACTCTCTGAATCTAAAATGGCCTAATATGCAGCTGGGGATTTTCAAAGTTCATTTTATTTTCAGGTTTTAATTTATGGCCATTGTATTTTCACTTGCAAATTTTTTTCAAGGCACAAATCACATGAACAGAATCAAACTTTTATCTAACTGATGATTGCTTGGTTTGGGATTATTGTCAACAACTTCCATAATTATAATTTTGTCTTTTATTCACCTAACTGTGGGAATACATATTCAGAATGTTTTCTTCATTAAAACAGCTTCATTTTATATACATACATAGATACCTATACACATACACATATACATATATACATACACAGGTGTATATATACACACACATCTAATACTACAGGGTTTAGGAAGACCTGAGTCATCTGGCCTCAGATGCTTACTTGCTGTGTGACCGTACACTTAACCTGTTTGCCTTAGTTTCCTCAACTATAAAACTAGGGTAATAAATACCACCTACCTTACAGGGTTGGTGTAAGGACCAAACGAGTTAATATTTGTAAAGCACTTAGCACAGTATATGGCACATAGTAGGCACTACATAAATGCTTACTCTGTTCCCCTTTACAACTAAATTTCTAGACTAAAATCTAGGGCAATGATTAAGGATATTTCCCTAAATATATTCTCCCCTACCTTTGATTCCATAAAAATCCAAAAGAAATAGTTCATGAAAATGATCACATTTTAGCCCTTATCTAGAGACTAAAACAGTAATAAGCATTCCCATCTAACTCACAGCAACAGGATTATAGAACCTGACATGTTACTTCTATAAAAAGAAAACTGATGAAGTACTGTCTTGACTTCCCATATCTGCCTTCCTGTCTTTAAAGAAAAAACAAAAACAAAAACGCTAGCTTAAAGAGCAGGCATGGAATAGCTGTTTCAGTTAGGAAAAACACCCCAACCATATCTTACCTTCTCATCACCTCATCCCCATTCTCTGCTCACCAATGGGGAGGCCAGAAGACAGATCAGAACTACCTGCCTCTATGGGAGCCATAAAACTTCCCTTTACCCAACCCAATCCTCATTATCCACTGCCCAATTCTAGCCAAGGACAAGACCATCACTGTCAGCTGGATGGTGATCTCCTCATCCACACCTATGCTGAAGGGATCCCAGATGTACTCCACTCTGACCCCTGGACCTATTATCCCCTTGGTCAGGAACCATCTGCCTTACCATTTCTCCCCCCAAGGTCCTCAGGGCCTTGCCATCTGCCCTATTTCCTTCTCCTGACAGAACCTTAGTATTACCTGGTCCTTCCATCTGCCATGAACTGAATGTGAACACAAGTGTTCCTTGATGTGTTGTCTCTGCCAATTAGAATGTGAGCTCTTTGAGAGTAGGAACAGTCTCACTTTTCTATTTTTATCCCAAGCATTTTAGCATACTGCTTGCATGTAAGTGCTTATGAATACATGCTGCTCCACTGCATTCTTTCTAATCCTTATCAGCCAATGAATTTCTAAAAGATCATTAGATAAAAAGATGTAAGTACTTCCATTTTTCTCCTACTATGCCATAATTCAAAACCCCTTTTAGAAAACTTTCAGAGATAACACTAGGGTGAGAAAAAGTGGTAAGTCTAGAAAGAACTTACTTTCCAGAAGAGAGCATTTGAAAACAGTTATAAAACTTTGAGAAACCACTCATATAATAATCAAGAGAAAATTGATTCTTTAGCTAAAAAACTAAGATTCTATCAGTTCATCAGTTTGGTCTTCTACCTATCTCTCAATTTCCCACATTTCCTTTAAAAACAAGAAAATGGAGTCTGTAATTGTGAATGCTTACTTTGCAAATGTCGCATCTACGTAGTCTACCTCAGATGCCACACATGAAGGAAAGAATCTGCAGCTCAACAAATATTTATATTTTTCTTTTCTTTCCTTTTTTTTTTTTTTGGCAAGGCAGATCAGTGTTAAGACACAAACAAAGGAAAAGGGAAATTAAAACCTACAATCATAATTTTCTTTTGCTTCCGACCACCCACTTGTGTTGTCCTTTCCTCAAGAACTAGTAGAAGAAAAAAAATTCCTCTTGCCAGCCTGAACTAGCTTGTCCTTTCCCTTCTGCATCTGCTGCCTTGTACCCGTCACTGTTAATGAGCATTGTAATTAATAGATAGCTCTCTCTTGTCTCCCTGCTTGCACTCTGGGCTAAGCACTTTTCTCAAGTCAACGTTTGAAAGAAAGCGGGTCGGCACTGACTTACAGCAGCCCTGCGAATTCCTTTTAATTTAGAGCACTTACACCACCACTTCACTTATTACCTTATAATTACTGGACTGCTCTCACATACATTATGATCTTAGACTAGAGTTAGAAATTATTAGGGTACTAAAACATGGTTGCTCTCCTTTCCTCTCTCTGGAACTGAATTTTCCACAGCTATGATTAAAAATATCAATTAACTCTTTCACCATCTGCCCACAAGGTAGAGTTTTTATGGAGTGTAGTTGCTGTAAGATGCTTTATCGTCAAGCACACGATTTTTCTCTGGCCCTTCTCTTGCTGATAGTCCTTTTTTATTTTCCCCCTTGCAAATAAAGCTCACTATTACTACAATGAGAAAGGCTTTATCATCACGTCCCCTATGCTTTGACCTAAAAACCTTGCTTATGAATTCTCAAGTATTCAAGGAATCATTTCTTAGGAAACAAGCCCTGATATTGTATTTCTAATTCCAAAACAATTACTTGCCTACATCGGACTATGTCAACAGCTAATTACTTGTCAAAATACATGTTTTTCTATCCACTGGAAAACCTCATTCAAGCTTGGTAGAAATCAAAATATTAACTCATGATTTTGCTATAACCATTTACAGAAGTGTCCACATGAAAGAGGGTAATATAGGAACAACAGCACCTTGAAAGTTGTGGCGTCTCAAATTAATCAAGGTCTGGCCCCTCTCAACAGCAATTGAAACTGAGCAAGCTGGATGGAGGGTTATCAAATGGTAAAGTTCTGTTCAAATATTATCCTCTTTGTACAAGAAGAAAGCTAAAGCTTATGACTAGGGAACCAATTTTACCATCTTCTTTTCCCAGAGAGACATGTCTAAAATGTGACTCAGAGTATAGCACTGTTTTTCAGTGATGTCTCCTGTTTAAATGGAAGAAACTGAAATGGCCACTCACACCTGCTGCACATTGACCTGTGTTGAGTCACCCTCACCAATGTTTGGAATGAAGCCGAAATGAAATCTTAGTAAGAGCATAGTTGCCTCCTAATTACTACTTAGCTCATTACACTGAAGACTTCCTAGACACCATTACATTATATCCTAAAACTACAGTAGGGTCTTAATTCTCTCCCTCTCTGTCTCTGAAAGTCTACAGCTCTATTATTCAAGCCTGAAATATTCACAACCATCTATAAATTCAATTGTCAGCTGGTGGGTTTTATTCTAGACCTCACTTCAATCTAAAATTAGAGGCACTAAAATTCACATTAACTCTAAGAGGAATGTAGTGAATAAGACTTTATTTCAAAAGAACACCTTTTTGTCAGAAAGAGCCATTTTCAAAATGATGGCTTTATCTGCAGCCAAAGAGAATAAGCCCAATTCCACAATGTGCTGTTAAGGCAGAATTTTTAGGTCACATTGGATTAATAAAAAAACTAAATTTAGTTAAGGATTATGAATAGAAATAACATGTGTTGAATAAATGCAGGCAATATTTATTTTAAAGACTTGGTATAGTTGTTTCTATTTTATTATTAAAGGAGAAATGAAAAGGCAGCAGTGAGCCCTTCCAGCTTTCAAAACACTTTTTTTGAGCAATAGTTCACATTCATATTGTGACTTGTGATTTATAAAGCTCTTCTCTTACAACAGCCCAGAGGGGAGAGCACATTTAAGATAAGCCAAAGGAAAAGGGTGGCACTGGGCACAGTTATTAATTGCTGACATTTTATTTATTCTATTAGGAGACAGACCTCTGCACAAAGAGTTAAATGGATTCAAGAGAAGGCCTAGAGTTAAGCTCAAGGTACCATTCTGTGCCTGGCTTATTCTAAGACTGAGGCTGAGTCCGAGGGAGAACTAGATCTTAGATATTAGAAATTAAACATCATGAAGAAAGAATGCATCCTATTTATCAGGAATACTTTATTTTTAATAAATAGTTCTGCTTTAAGATCTTCATAATTCTGAATATGGCTGAACACTCCATGTTCTCCAATGCACAGAAGAGACACAAGATAAGTAAATAAACCCTTTTAAAGACCAAACTTTTATCTCCAATCAAAACACAATGTCTTACTTTAACAAATATAACTTTCAGGGGCGTAGCCAAGATGGCAGAGTGAAAGCAGTGACTTGCTTGAGCTCTCCCCCAAACCCCTCCAAATACCTGTAAAAAAATGGCTCTAAACAAATTCTAAAGCAGCAGAACCCACAAAAAGACAGAGTGAAACAAATTCCCACCCCAAGACAACCTGGATGGTTGATTGGAAAGGTATATTGCACCGGGTGGAGAGAGGAGCACAGTTTGGCGTGGGTGCGCAGGCCTCAGTGAACACTGGAGCAGGCCTCAGAGAACTGAATCACGGGCAGCTCTGGCGGTTTTCAGACTTGTCAACCAGGAACGCCAAAGATAACTTA